TTCGACTGGATCATTAAATTAACATACTTCAGAAGTAGATAAAAAATGTCACTGCATGAAAAGGAAACAGGTGCTCTAATGTTGACTTGGAGGGAGATACCGCATTCGAACGAAAGAAGCCTTGGCTGATGGTATCACAATGAAGACTAGCACTACGGAATAAATTAATGGCATGCGATTCTACAAAAAGGTATACTTAAATAGTATTATTGGATGTTGATATTTAATAATGATATTTAATGTCCCAGTAAATGCAAATCTTTCTCTTCCAACAGTATTTTACTGGATAAAATCATAGAGCAATTCGCCCTGAGTTGGTGGTGATATTGAAAAAATAACGTAAAACTTTTATTTATGCATAACGCAAAAAATACTGTGGTCAGTGCAGAGACTGACCAATACAGACGGTTCAGCCTGTCTCATGGCCATTCTTCAAGGTAAGTTGGTGGTGAAGTTACAATGTGATTCGTAGCCCGTAACAGTCGCTAGTTTCTGAGGAACAAGGCAAGCTTTATGTACATTCTGCTAGTTAAACATTTTTTGGGCGACAAGGGCACAGGCTCCTCCAATCCACACAAAGATCGTATTCCTTGTCACGAATAAGGTTCTCGCAAGATTTTATTATTAATGCCTCGTCAATCTGTCCGTGTAGCTAATGTCTCTGATAATTCCGCTAAGTTCTACTTAACTTCTATCTTCTGATGCTGCCATCGGGGTGGGGGAGATGTCATTGCTTGGCTACATGCAGTACAGTCCCAGAGGTATTTTCGCACTGTTCCGTAACATTGCTGGGGGCGAGGCTTTTTTTTCAGTTGCTTCGCTACCACCTGTCGCTTACGCTCAACCTCTATCTTCCATCTTCTCCAGCTTGACAGGTAGATAATTGCTCTCGGCTTGACGGTGTTCCCTGATTCTCTATGTTATATTTCTATATTTTATATCGTAATTTGTAAAACCAGCCTTGAGAGTTTTTATTCTCAGAATTAATGCATAAAGTTTATTAGAGCTTTCATATATAAATTAATACTATATTTAGAGTTAAGTAATCCGTACAACTTTTCGCCAAATATTTTATGATACGACAGAATTAAATAAGGTTCAAAATTAGTCTTGTGCTGCAATTAGATTTAAAGTGGCTTATTCAACGGGTTAATGATGTTATTAACGAATTCAGCTGGATAATTATTGTTAGTGCATAAGATTAATCTGATATACTTTATTTCATCTATACGAAATTCATTAGTACAGAGCTTCAAGGCTGTCTATTTACAGGGTATTATTCAATATGACAACCTAGATCCCACATTCTTCAACGTCATTGAAAACCTCTCAAGTTCAACTGCATTACCTGGCACTGCACCTTCAGTGCTTAGACAAAACAAACAAACCCAATGTTCCCTTTAGACCTACTATCTCTAATGTGAACTGCATTTTCGGAAAGGTTCGAAACGACCTCTAAAATACTCGGACTCTTTTAACTGAAAGTAACCCGTCTTGCAGCAAAAACTCTCATGACTTTTGCAAAGAACTCAAACAGATTAAACCCTCTGAAACAGCATTATGGTCAGTTACGACGTTAAAGACTCATTTACTAACATGCCTGTTACTATTAAAGTAACTGCTAAACTTCTTTAAGGAGATAACACACTTCAACAATGCGCTAACCTCTCTGTTAGCTCAATCGTAAAGCTAATAACTTCCTGTGGTAAAGGACAATTATTGCTTTTTCGATGGTAGTTTCTTCACAGAATCCAAAAGAGAACTCAGAGACAACTAACTTCTTTCCATCTTGCCAAAATTTTCAGATAGAAATTTGAAAATGTAACTCGAGACACGATCTCAGACTTTTCCAACGAGTTTTCAGACGATATTTTTTGCCATTGGTGAGGAAAACAAGTCATTAAGACTCCTCAGTAGCATATTCCCTCAAAAATCGAGCTTACTGTTGAAAGAGAAAAGTCCAGTATTTCTTGATGCCTTAATAATTAACTCTAGTAACTGCCACAAAACTAAAATTTCTCATAAACTCACCAGCACTGACAAATATCTCAACTTTAAATCACTTATTCATTTAAACAACAAACGTGGTAGTTGTTATAGTTATAATTGACTGGGCACTGTAGTAATGAATATATAAAGACGAAAAAAGTACATAAAATAATCCTTATGCAATAACAATAATTATGCAATATTTATGTAGGTTATAAATCATAGAATAAGCGACTTTATTTCTATTTGTATTAGTAATAAGAGCAGTAGTAATATAGATAATATCATCGCATCATAAAATCTTTATAGAAAAAAATTGCAAAGATTGCTTAACACTACATATAATATTGATGTTACACACAAAAGCGCCAATAAACTTAATGCGCTATTC